GTCTACAGAATGATGAGAGGTGGGCAGAGGTGGGAGTCAGCACGTTTCAGATGGTGGCCTCATGATGATTTAAACATAATGATGGTGGTGTAGGATTTATTGTAAGTATTAAAAGTAAGTTTTTTTATATTTTACTCTCTTTATTATTTTGAAATATTATTTATTTGCCATTATTTTCATTTTATAATTTTTTCTTCTAAGATTATAAAATTCATTTACTACTACGCTAATAAAAAATGTTGTCTACAGAATAATGAGAGGTGGGTTGTGGTGGACGTCAGCACGTTTCAGATGGTGGTCTCAAGGTGATCGTTCCGATGACAATTTGAAGGTGACAATAAGAAGTGTCTGAAGAGTACACGCGCGCACATTTACACACACACATCAATACAACACACACACAACATCCATTCATTCGGTGTCGTTGTTTCTCTTCAACTTTCTATTTTCTTTACCGGACTTTTTATTTAATTCATAGGTAAGTTAGGGATTAAGATGAGTTGAACAATCTTAAGTAGGCTAGGGCTTAACATTAGTTAAAAAGTTTCAAGTAAAATAAAAATACTAAAATATGTTAAATGAAATACCTGAAACATGTAAAATTCCTAAAACGTAGAAATACAAATTTGTAGGTAGGTGAGTTGAGTTAATGATTATAAGTAAGCTAGGGCCCTGAGAATAATTTAATTGTAGGTAGGTGACTGACTACTATTCTTGCGACTTCTTACTAGTTTTGTGTAATGTGTTGGTTCGTTTTCGCTTCACAGCACCACACCAACAAAACAAACTACATTTCATTCTCGTCGTCGCCTTTTTGAACAATCTTTTTAATAATGTCCATTTATTTAATAATTTGTTAAATGTTGTCTGGTTTCGAGTTTTTTTTAAATTTGGTTATATAATTTTTGGATATTTCTTGATTTACTTTGTATATATGCATGTATAAATTTCTGTTTGGTATGTTGATTTAGCCATTATGATATGTTGTGAACTGTTCTTAAATGTTCATGACACGTGAATCATTCTCTGAGAACTACTAAGGAGTGTGTATAATAATAATGAATAATAATTATTTTTTATCGGTCAATATTTTGTTATATTTATTTGTTTAAAATTAGAATTTTAAAAAAAATTGTCGTTTTTTATAATTTTAATTAACTGTCACTTTCCATTTTTGAAAGAATTCAAATAAAAGCAACCATTGTGTTTTTCATTCTTTACTAAAATCTCGAAATTGTTTGTAAATCTGAACGGTTAGGTGTTTGTTCGAGTTTGAACAAGCCTTGCAAATATTTTTTTTTTTTTCGTTTTTATCACAATTAGATCGTTTGTTAGATTCATTTAATTTGGTTCATTGATTGGTCGATTGGTTGGTTGGTTGATTGAACGAATAAATGAATAATTGGTTGGTTGATTGGTTGATTGATTGATTGATTGATTGGTTGGTTGGTTGATTGATTGATTGGTTGGTTGGTTGGTTGATTGATTGATTGATTGATTGATTGATTGA